AGGATGAGGGGAGGGACCAGGTCCAGGGGAGGAGAGGCCGGCGCCTGCTGCTGTCCAGGAAGATGTCCAGGCGGGCAGTATTGGCCTCCCCAGGTGTGGACGCTCCCATCACTTTCCTGCACTTGGACTTTTTGCAAAGACAGGTGTGTGCGGCCACAGAGGAGGTTCTACCAGCCTCCCATGGGCCTCCTGACTCCAGACCCTCCTTGGTGCCCCTGGAGCCCAGGGAGCACAACTGGATCGTCATGGTGGCCGCTGGCTCCTGGCTGCAGGTCCGGGCGCTCTTCCTGGAAGATCCACATCTTGCTTTGCAGAGGGACTTTATCTCGGGCTACACGGCGCTCCACTGGATTGCCAAACACGGAGCCACTCAAGTGCTCCAGGACTTAGTCAGTGGGTCCCAGAAAGCCGGCATCCCCCTGGATGTGAACGTGAAGTCCAGCTGTGGCTACACCCCCTTGCACCTAGCGGCGATCCATGGACACCAGAGGATCATGAAGCTGCTGGTCCAGAAGTTGAACTCTAAGGTCCACATGCGGGACAGCAGCGGAAAGAGGCCTTGGCAATACCTGAGCAGCTCCACCTCTGGAGAAGTGTGGCAGCTGCTGGGGGCTCCAAAGGGCAAGACTATCTTCCCCACCCAGCCTTTAGTCAGACACACCTCGCCCTAGGTGTCCAGGAACAGCAGCAGGAAAACCTCCCTCGCGGCCTGCCTGAAAACACAGCACATGAAATGGAAAATGGCCGCCAAGTACCCCGCCCTGAGGGAGCGGGAGGAGTATAGTGACTGACAGCCCGTGGGGCAGAGCACACGTACAACGAGTCTTGGGTGTCTGCTACCGAGTGGGCCAAGCTAGAGGTGGAGGCGAGGGGGAACTTTCTGGTTAATTAACTATTTCGCTGCTTCTCACTGGACCCTTTTCTGGCCTGTCTTAAATAGAAACATTGGTCTGGAAACGGTCTGCTCGGTGAGCTAATACTGTCACCGCTCCCAGCCACAGGGGAAAGCCCAATTTGGGAAGCAGCTGGGGACCCTCGCTCCCACGGAGCTACTTCTCAGACTAGCTCCCCTCCCTGCCACGGTTCAGGTACTCAGAACCATTCGTTAGCTGCTGGAAAGTTGGGGTGGGGGGGAAAGAGGCAAGCAGTGATCACAGGAAGAAAAGATTGGAGGGACATTAAATCATCCCCGTCCGACCTGGCCTCCAGCCTGAAACCCAGGGCAGAGATAGGGAGGCAAAACTCATGTTTGAAGTCCTTCCTGCTGTGGAAAGAGGCAGGGATCATCAGCAAAACAAGAACTGAAATATTCACGTCATAGGTGAGGGGGATGAAAAAGCTCTTAAACTGGGACAACACTACACTAGTGGCCAGCTATTCACTTATTTGCCTTGAGAGAGTGTATTTTGGGGAAGAAAGATGGAGTCCCCAGACCAGAGACTTGGTCCTAGGAAACCCAAACTTTATAGCTGTTGGGATTTGAAAACCCAAGACTTGTTTCAGTGTAGATCAAAGGAGCGACTGAAAAAAGCACAATCACAAAGATGGGAAATATGGCTAATCTAGTTAAAAACAATGTTTTTAAATGGACGAGATTCATAAAGTGCTTTTTTTTTATAAAGTAGCTTTGTTAGTCATTCATAATGCTGCCAGCGAGTGTGGAAACGTTTTCTGAAAAGTGTCAACCGCTCAGGGTGTCCAATTTTCTCATTCTTTTCATCCACAGCTGAGGAATCTTTGAGGGGTTTCACATCTTCATAACACCACACGCACAAACAGCAGTTGTGCTCCCTGGTGCTTGGTTGGCTGTCTCATGCCAGCTTTGTTAGTTCTGTTGTATTCCTGCCTGTCTTTCATATTTGCTCAGGCAATTTATTCCTAAATGCAACTAGCTGGATTTTGATAGTTTTAAAAAATTAGAAGAATTTCTCATTTGAATATTCTATGCAACGAGTTGCATTTTTTTTCCGCACAAGAAGTGCAAAATGTGCACCATAGCAAAACCTGAACAAAGAGTATTAACCCTGATTATGGATTTGTATTGATGCTATTTGTTTAGAGGTTGCACTTCCTGGGTGATGGGTAATGGAAACCTGAACAAAGAGGAGTAACCCTGATTATGGATTTGTATTGACGCTATTTGTTTAGCGGTTGCACTTCCTGGGTGATGGGTAATGAAAACAGAGCAGCTAACGTCTGTCTTGGATTCCCAGACGGGCACAATGCTCCAAAGTCATAGGTTGCACATATTGCTGGGGGTGGAGTGGTTTCTGCAGCTGTTTGCTCTCAGCTGAAATATTTCATTGGTCTTAAGTGTTGGAATAATGGTTTTCAGCAGCTACATGAGGCCCTGTAACCTTGATGGATTTTAATATTTAGATCAAGGGCCCCACTCGCTTTAAAAGCCAAAGAAGTTAAGCCTTCTTGCCTGGGAAGCTGGAGGCAGGCGGAGTGTCCCCAGGTAAGGTGGAGGTAAGAACAGACGCTGTAGGGTGTGACGTGTTCATTCCAAACCACACCCCACCCACCTTCTGCACAGCGTGCTATCTGCTGCACCTCCCTGCATACTCCTGGCGCACAAAGCCCTCGACGCCCCCCTACAGGGCTAAGCATGCTGAATGCAGGGGGCACAATCGGACTCTTGTCCGTGCCCTACATGCTGTAGGCCCTCGACCAGCTCCCTGTAGGTGGAAGGCCACGGGGGCAGCAGATGAGGGTCACAACCGCACTAGTGCGACAGGCTGCTGTTTAAGCAGATTTTCTAGCATGTAGATTTAGTGGGGGGGCCAAGGGAGACCTGATCACTTCCTCCCTGGCAAGTATCCCTGCTTGAGCCTGGCTGTCTCTTTTGGGGGTAGGTGCGTTAGGGACGGCTACAGGCAAGGGCAGTTGTGAAGCCCTCCAGCAGTAGCGATGGCTTTGCTCGCCCTAGGAGCCTTGAACCTTCTGAGGCTCCCAGGGCACTAATACATGCTCCCCACCCACGGTGGGGGACCAAACTGTGCTCGTTTGGTGCAGGCAATAGCCGTGACTGCTAGATCCGTTACATGCGGAGGAAGGGCTAGAAACCCTGCCCTTCATTTTACAAAGTAGCCAGCCTCCCAGGCTCAAAGATGAGCCTTGTTAGCAGTAGGAGAAGAGCCTTTTGTCTTGGCTGAATGCCAGCTACTACAAGGTGACATCACCCAGACCCTCATCCGACAAATGTGCTTAACTTTACTACGATGGCTAATCCCACCTGGGTTGTAAAACCCAGCATTTGCCGGATTGCAGCCCATAACCAGTGCACTATTCCCTGTCAGCGTGTAACTTTAGGAACTCTATCAGCGTGAATGCACAAGACTGGTGACTGATGTTACCCAGTGCATGGGTTTTTCAGTAGGATAAGGCATGATCTGCCCTATATGTGCAACCCCAAGGCTGCACCGTTGTAGCAGGGCATCAGTCCCAGGAAGTGAAATTGATTAGAAGTGAACTATAAGGCTTCGTCTCCACTACACGTTTTTGTGGCCGAAAATATGCTAATGAGGGACTCATTAGCATATTGTCTGCTGTTTCTTTTTGCGCAAAACGTAAGTGGCTACACTGCTTCTTTTTGCACAAAAACCCCTTGCGCAAAAAGAAATGGCAGAATATACTAATGACGTTGGAGTTATGCTAATGAGTCCCTCATTAGCATATTTTCTGCTGCAAAAACGTGTAGCCTAGACGAAGCCTAAGTGAAAGGGGTACTATAGAGCCCATTTTCCTCATCCAAGCTGAGCAAATGGGAGAGAGTTAAACCAAGAGAGCACAAACACTGAAGAGCAGCTCCGTTTTTTCTGATTTTCATTTCCAATAAGCTAGGGTGTTATCTGCAAACAGGGCCGGCACTTTTGAAATAGCTCCTGGAAGTTCAGCGTAGGCAAAAAGGAAGAATCAGTTGCTAGTGCGTGTGGCCAGTGATCTAAATATTAGAATCCATCAAGCTTAAAGGGCCCGTGTTTATACTTGCCCCCATATTTAGCTTCTGTAAACCATTATTCCAAAGCTTAAGACCAATGAAATATCTCCATGAAACGGAAAATAAAAGCAAGAATCAATTTCAATTAATAAAACTCACCAGAGCAGAATGGAGGTCAATCATGCTAATAAAGCTTTGCCTATTCATCCCCTTAAGAAAATTTCCCCCAGCAACTACAAACAAGCCTACCCGAAACATGAGTTGAAATGCTAAGACGTACTCTCTAGCAGCTGCTGAAGAATGGCGCCATATTCCTGCCCTGTTAGTTGTGGCTTGGGCATGTTTTATTCCAGTGTGCTAAAGGTAAGATTTATAAGCAATTGGAAGGAATTAGGTGTCCAAGGAAGTTGGGCACCAAACCCTTGCGGGTGTTTTTGAAAACTTCAATTTATATTAACGTTCACGTACAAAACGGCTGAAATTGCTCACTTCCCACTCTCTGGCCTTTGCAAGAAGATGTTGTCTCAGGTATGTGTGCTGCTCTGACTCCAGGCCAATGTCAGGGGTAGGACTGGGTCCTGCTACAGTAACTCTGCTCCTAAACCAGTTTGAACTGGAAAGACTTAAAAAAAGTTTGGATGGATCTCTTCTCCATTAGCTTGTCAAGTTCTCTTTTGAACCCGGGGTAGTTTTGGCCTTCACAACCGTCAAGGCTTCTTCCCCACTCTGGCACAATAAATGCAGAGGTGGGGGCCCGCAAAAGTACCCCAAAACCTGATCTTTCCAGGCTTTGGTATAAACCTTCTCCCCAAAATCTTAACCTAGATTTTGGGGATAAAAATCTACTGCTACCACCCAAGTAATAATAGAGAAACCAGGGAGTGACTACTTGGGAAATCTCAGCCCCCAAACTAAAAACCAGGACACCAAAATTAACCAATACCAGGTTAAGAAAAGAAAAGAGAAAAAAAACTTATTAACATTACAATATTCCTGTTGCAAGCATAATGACTAGATAGAAAAGTCACAAAATAATACTCATGGGGGAACCCCACCGTGGGCCAAGACTTAGTTACAAAGTACAGGAAAACTAATTTTTAAATGCACAGACATCAGATTCCATTTCCCAACCCATACAACAATAAAACCTAATGGATTTATCTAAACCTTACCCTACCTACAGATAGTGAAGAGTCTTTTCTTGGAGGGAGACGTTCTGTCTGACCCCCTCACTAACTGGAGAGCAAACTTCTCCAGAGACAAAGGAGAGAAAACCCCCAAAATTCCTTTGTCCCAGTTTGAAATTCCTACCTACGTTCTTATTGGCCGACTCTACCTGGCTTAGGTATAGTTAACCCCTTAGTCCCCAGGCTGCTGGCCATCTCTCATGATCATGACACTCCCCCCTCCCCCCCGGGCTGGGAGTTCCACAGGTGAATTGTGCAGCGTGCGCTTTCCATATAAAGCACAATTAACTTAGAGGGTTAATGAGCTGAGGTGAAGGCCAGAAGCGTAACTGGGTTAAAAAAACAAGGAGGCAATTTCATGGAGAATAGGTCCGTCAATGGCTATTAGCCAACGTGCTCAGGGATGTTACCCCATACTCAGGATGCACCCAGGGGCAGCCCGTCCATATAGGCAAACTAGGTGGTCGCCTGGGGCGCTAAATGGTGGCGCAATATCATTGAGGGGCTTGGAGGTGGGGGCGCTGACTGCATGGTTCGCCTAGGGCACCAGTTGCTGGCAGCTAGTCTAGGGCCACCCCTGGGTGCACCTAAACCCCACACTGCCAGAAGAACACCACAAGGTAGATGTCTCCCACTGCCCTGTTCTGTACCCTCCCTGGCAGCCCTCGTTTCGGCCATTGCTGGAGACCAGATACTCAGCTGCACTGTCGGTATCTGGTGTCACTAGGGCCATTCTTGTGTTCTGAAGGGTGTGGAGAAAGCGATGGTATAAGGCAGGGGTCTCCAACCTTTTTAACCACAAGATCGCTTTTGTAAAATCTACCTCAAACCCACATATCCTTGCCCGCTTCCTTCCCGCCCCTTCCCCGAGGCCTCACCCTGCTCACTCCATCCCTCCTCCTCCCTC